GGGGGGGCAGCGCGGCGCGGAGGGGCCGGTGCGTGTGCCGGGGGTGTGTGCGGGGTCCCCCGCCGGGCTCCGGCCGCCGACCGAGGGCGGATCGGCGCGGGCCGCGCGCCCCCTGCCGCCCGCGCGGAGCGGAGCGCGGCGGGGGCCGGGGCTGGGGCCGGTCGGGGCGGTACCTGCGCGGTGCCTCCTCCGCCGGAGCCGGAGCTCGGACCGGGCCGGGCTTTGAAGGGTCGCGGGCGCTGGGAGAGCCCTGAGGGAGCGCGAGCCCCGAGGGAGGGGCGCGTCCCTCGCGCGGCGCCCGCCCCGCAGCGCGGATTCACCCGCGCGGGGGCCGGGGGAGAGCGGCGCTCCCGGTGCGCAGAAGGCGGGGGCGGCGGCGCAGGGCATCGCCCCGCCGGCGAGGAGCGGCGGGCTGGTCACTGGTACACAGCCTGGAAACAGTCGCTCCCTTGCATCGGAAACTGCAGGCGGCTTTCCTAAACATTCACATGCACGCAGAACTCCCAAAGAAACCCCGCATGGCGGTGAGCAGTGGAGATCGGCTGAACCCGATAAAACAGATGCTTTTATACTCTCAAAGTTGGTGCATTTGCGTTTTTGGCCTCTGCTGAATATACTTTTATTGTTCTGCAATCAACTTTTCAGTATTCCGCATCTGATGTGGTAGGAGCCAGCCTCACTTCTGCAGAGATGTTATCGGAGACAGTGAGTGGAACAAGCCGTGGAGATGCTTTTAAAGAGGGAATAAATCACTGTCTTGCCTAGGGACAATGCGGTTGAGGATGAGCAGCTGTGGCCTGGGAAGCCCATCAAAGGGAATAAAACCACAGCAGAGCTTCCCCTGGCTTGTTTTTTTTGCTGTTGTTGTGTGGGGTTTTTGTTTTGGTTTGGGTTTTTTATGTGGAAAAAAATAAACTTGGATTTCTGGCATATTTTTGGACCTTGAAAGAATGATCACCAGAGAGTTACCAGCAGTTAGTGGCGATAGTCGGACGGAGTTTTGAACTTTGCCATCGACCCTCAGCCCTCTGACACTGATAAGAAGCGGCACCAACTTTCTAGCTACGTATGTAAAATATAGCAATAGCACAGAACAAATTCAGTGACCGGTAGGCATTCATTTTTGAGGCTAAGAACTTTCAGTTAGAAAGTCACCAGCTCACACCCTAACTTGAAAGCTTGGTAGCCCTTGTACCTTGGATACACTGTGTGAGGAGCATGTATTACCTTATTGAGGGTGAAAAATAATAGTAATTAAAAAAAAGAAACTAACTGCTCCAAATGCTAACTTAAATTCCCAGAGGAAATACTTGCAGAACAGATTGATGCTAGGTACAGAGATATTTAAGACAGTAAGCCCCCATCATAAAGATTCTAGAGGGGAAAAAAGCAGCTACGTACTAAGGCTCTAAAACTTAAATAGCTGAAGTGCATTTTACTCCATATGCTGACAGCTGATAATACCTGGCAAGTAATAGCAGTGGTAGTATGATGTGTCACTCAGCAAAAAATAATGTGGGAAAACCAAAAGTATTTCAAATATAGTGCAGAATCCCAGTTTTTTGGTAGCAGAACACTATTTTATTTTCTTCAGCCAATAGGTATTGACATTTTAAATTTCTCCTGAGGCAAAGATACTTTTCTCTGCTAAATAGTTAAATAAGCTGGATAATAGAACATAAACTTTATTTGGAGCAGCATTTCAGTCTAAAGACACCAAAGCAATTGTTTGAGTATGCTGCATTTCATACAAGTATTGACCGAAATAATGTATATTGTTAAATACAGGTGCCCTCCTTCTTTGCATAGATGAGTGATTTTGCATTTATAAAAAAGGTCAGTTTGAATATGTACCATGTTCTCAAGTTACCTAGGTGTAGCATGGTAAAAAACACTTGAGGTTTATTAAATGTAAGTTGCATGAGAGTTAGTTCTGTTTTGTAATACACATTATTTCCTATGTTCTAAACTTACTTTAAATAATTAAAACCTGGAGTGGACACAAAGGAGCTTTTTACTTGGGCTTGTTGGATACATTCATCTGCTGAAACTGTTAGAGATAACAAACTTGAAACATGTTTCCTTTCGGAAAAATCTGTTCTGCAGCTGCCGGTGTTGGGAGGTGACAGCCAGCACTCCTTGCCTGCCTTCATTATTTTAGCCAGTTCTCCTCAGGCTGCCATGCACTGTAATCACTGGTTTTGGCTCTCGTTCCTGCTCGTGCATGGCAGCAGGGTGCACTTGATCCAATGCACGGTCAGTGTGAGAGGTGATGGCTTGTTATTTTATCACCTCCTTCATGTACCTGCATTTGCCAAAGAGGAAGGCCCGGAGCCCACCCCTATGGATTGCACAGTGACTTCCCAGCAGGGAGCTCGTGCAGGGCGTCCAGCCGATGTGGTTTGTGTGGAGGGAGTTATCTGGGGAAGGGGTGGATTTTCACAGTGATGGAAGGAGGCAGAGAGGGAGTGTTTTCTAACAACACCTGACGAGATCTGAAGTTCTTCGCTGGCCCTGATTCTGCCAAGATACATTTTATTTGTTCTGTGAAGGGGGTATATGCTCCATCGGCAGAATTAGCATGCTATGCGAGGTATGACTTCCCCACCTGGAAAGGGATGGGTGTGCTCAGAGCTCCCTCACAGCTGATTTTATTCTGGGGGTCAGCTGCATGCTGTTCTTTCTCAAACGGCTGTAACATACTCACTGTGGCCAGAACATCCACCACTTCCCAGATGGAGCAGTGCTCAGAGGGGAACGTAGAGGCAGCAGATGTGGCCTTCTGCACCAGTGCCTCCCAGTGTTTTCCATATTGCAGAGGCTGTGGCACATGGGAATGTTCAAGGCCCAAAACGTCCTGCAGTTCATACCGCTGTTGCTCCACAAAGGCGATCTCCAGGAGTGTTGTGCACTGGAGGCTTTGCATACATTAGCTAAAGTCCTTCCAGCAGTTTGCCATTCCCTCGCTCTCAGTCAGCAGGGAAGCTGATCCCTCTTTGTCACCTCCATGGCCCCCCAACACCCAGGGTGTGCAAATAGCAAAGCACTGCAGGGTGGAGGGGATCGGGGGGGGATCAGTTATTCCTGATTTGTTTGATTACCTTTTTGGGAAGTCAAATGCACAGGCATTACCAGGGACAAAAAAACCCCACATTGCTTTGTGTTACCCACAGCTAGAGGCTTAGGGTACAGCTGTAAACTTCAGAAACGTTATTCTAAACCTTTTTTTTTCAGAATAATTCAAATAGATATGTCCTTAGCTATAGAGCACTGAAATGTAGAGTGCATATTGTGAGTGACTCTGCAAGAATAAATATAAGCAAGACAAATTGTATAGCTCCATCAGAAAAAACCCGGCAGCGCTCAGCACATGATCCTTAATGTGCTTTGGTCAATATCTTTCTTTGTATCAATGGAAGCTCATTAGAAGAAGATATTGCAGACTAACTGAGCCATGCCGTACTAGTTCTTGCCAAAGCTTGACATTTTTAATACATTAATAATATGTCTGTAATGTAATGGAAAACTATTAATCAGAACTGGTTATATGCCAGAAATTTAAGCTATAATTGGCTGCTTCTTGTCAGGAATGTCTGTCATACACTGCTACAGCTGCTTAATGCTCGGATGTCTTGCACTCCTCTGCACTTTTTTCCTTGTCAGTACACTAAATTCAATCGATGTTATAGTCTATAATTCTGGGTAACGACCATCATTATGACTGGCTTACTTTAATGAGAATTCGTTATATGGGAAGTATTTTAGCACAGTGTGTTAAGGTAGTGGCTTGCTTAACATTATTTAGTCCTATCCAGTCCTGTTTATTAGTGGATCTGGGTCTCAGTGGTTATAAAAGGTTATTGGTGACTGAAGAGCTAGCAAGGAAGATAGTAAAGAAAACAAACTTTTTTTCTTTTTTTTTTTCCTGAGTGTGTAAGCTTGTAGTCTAAGGATAATTAAACGCAGTAACTTCTTTTTTCTACACACACACAAAAAATATTATTCCAGCTATGACCAAGCCTTCTCCAATAAAGAGTATTTTATTTGCTATAAGTTTAAAAAAATTTGGCTCCTTTTCTAGGAGAGTAGTTGTTTCCCTTCTATATAATGACTGTTCTAAGCTAGGGAGTCTTGGGGATGGTTTTTTTCCCCTTAAAAATAATAAAATACATTGGAAGGGACCAGAGGGAAGAGTATGAGATGTTTTTAGAATGACATGGAAAGCGTAATCTGAATTACTGAAGTCCAAAATAATAAGTAAACACTCCCATTGAAAACAAAAACCTTCAGTCTAAGGTTCCTGCAAAAACAGCGGTACTACATAGTGTGCTCCTTGAAAAGATTTAATTTTAATTTGGTCTTAGATATTTCTGCTTTTGTGTCAAATTCAGATTTGAAGCTTAAATATGTTTGAACTAATTCAGAATGATTATTGCATGAAAATTCAGATATTTGCCGCGTATTCTGATAAAATACATGAGAGTTGTATGGTAACACTTGATAAAATGAATATAATGGAAAATTGCATTTACGTCCATACGGCAATTATTGTAAATTACTTTGCTATGGAAACACAATTCAACCATCTGTTGGCATTTCATGGTGTCTGTAGTTTAGCTCAGTTTAGGATGAAGCATTATTTAAATATAGGGAGGGTGCTTGCGAATAGCTTTGAAGATAAGTTTTGAAAATGCACACTACCAACGTGACATGCTAAGGAGCTTATCGGGTCACAATCTGCTTCCCGTGGTTTTGGGGTACAGGAGGGTTCATGGCATTGGGCATAATTTAAAACTGGGAAGCAAAGCAGGCTACAGAAAGCGGCGACTTACAGTTGTTGCTTAACATCTGTCTGATGGGTTTGCTCAGATTTTAGCATCCAGACAAAGGAATTGTGGAGGTGCTGTGGCTGTTGGCTGAAATCCTCATCCTGCCGAGAGCCCAGTGCCCTGGCTGCCCATCCTCGGGTGGCACGGGCTGACACCAGACACAAGCTGGAGTTCCTAGCCCTGATTTTCCTTGTCCATGTTAGGGTACTTATTCTGTCTTTGCCATTTCCCTTGTACATAATTTGTATTTTTACCTGTGTTTTTTAAGAAATATATATTTTAATATGTTGTGATAACATTATATAGTTAGTATATAACTATAGTATACAGTATATTGTTAGTATATAGTTAGGTAGTTGTATATAGCATTTTATACCTGTAATAGTGTGACTGAGGTGCTACAAACTGAGGGAATTTCTATTTCCTTTCTGAAGAGAGGAAAGGGCACATATCTGCTGTGAAATAATTACTGAGTACTCAGGTACAGCCACACTCAAACCTAAGAAAGTAAGAGGGGGAAAACATCCTTATAATAAACTACAAATAAAACATTATCCTTATCAGTAGTTTGTCATCAGTGTGGTCAGTAAATCACAGTGCAAAGAAAAAAAAAAGGAGCAAAGCTCTTCCAATGCAAATGAGAAATTTCAAAGAAATTGAATTGTGCTTGCCATATCTTTGTTATTCTTAAAAAAAAAAAATCTAAGAAATGTGTAAGGCTTTTGGAGCTCTTTGAGGTCCTTTGACCAAGAAACTACCAGCACCTGGTAGTCCTGATACCCATCTCTGTGTCACTTTAAAAAAAGAACCTTCCTGCTGCTGCCCCACGGTACTGGGCTGCCTGGTCCCCTGCCTGCCTGCACCATCTGGGCAATGGTTGAGTTCAGTAGTTTGCTCTCCCGTTTTGCTAGGGTGAAAATACAGTTTTGGAAGCAGGAACCTCTAAATCACCTGGAACATTATAAATTTGTCTTTGTTAGAGAAGAGTTAAACCTTTCATGTCAAAATACTTTTTACTGTGAATGATTTTGGTAGTTTGTTCATTCTAGCACAGCACCCACAGTAAAGGTTATCCATATTATACCAATTTGCTTTATATTGTATCAAACCTCCAAAATGTCAACATATCGTATATTTTGTAATGCATCGATTCTTGGACAATAACTGTAATTTTTATTGTTTCTAAAAGGGTGCTGGTGCCAGAAGAAAAGAATGATTGATGGGAAACAGACACCAGCCTGTAGACACTCATCCTTTTGCTTCGGATACTGATTTATCAGTGTGTCTGGGCATCCCCTGCGAGCCCTGAACACGGAGGATCACTCAGGGTTATCGACAGTGTAGCTGAAGACCTGCAACTTCACAAATTATTATCTGCTATTGGACATCTTTTACAAGAAGCCTGACAGATAAGTTATAAGACAAAGGACAAGCGCTGCATTGCTGTGAAAGGCTGTCATCAGGGCCTGGGTGGCTTCTACCAAAGTCTTTAACGTAGTGAAATAAACATCCTATCCTAAAGCTTCACGTTTGAGTTGGAACCTATTTTATAAATATACACATGTGTATGTACGTATAATCTGTAGACCGCACGTAAGCCAGCACTGACCATCCTTGCGAAGGTGACATAAAAGGATTTAGAAATGTATTGGTCAAGATTCCTGTCACTTCACGCCCTCTGGGTTACCGTCTCCTCCATGATGCAGCACTACCCTTCTGTGTGGGGACACTATGACGTGTGTAAGACTCAGATTTACACAGAAGAAGGAAAAGTATGGGATTACATGGCCTGCCAACCAGAAGCCAGAGATATGATCAAATATGTAAAAGTGACTCTGGATCCTCCAGACATAACATGTGGAGATCCTCCTGAGACCTTCTGTGCAATGGTAAGGCAAGCTTTTCGTTTTGCATAATTAGTGGGTGTATATTTGTGATAAATGGCTTCAAAATGGAAGCCCTAGAGCACATATGAAATTATCCAAGAAAATCTGCATCATATTCCAAAATGTGAAAAGTTCTGCCGAACAAAATGCTGAGCAGTACATTAAGCTGGGCAATAAGATGTTCTGCTTATGAGTACCTGACTTGACTTTGCCTGAATTCGGTGTCTCTCTAGGTCAACTTTTAATGTATCAAAATCAGCATAAAACTGCTAGTGCGCTAACCCATAACTGGGGTGGTCTTTGCCTGCATCAAGAAAGACTTGAGTGAACTGATTACAATACAATCAGTTTAAAGCATCATAGCATGGTATAATTAAGCATAGTTTCCAAACAATGAGACCAATTGAACTCAAATTGCTGAAGCTTAAAAGTGATAGTAGGAGATGAGCTGGTAAAGTTTTTCCAGCTAGCCCACACAGCCACAGGCAGCTTTGCTAGAGCCTTGCTACTGCATGCAGCAGGTCCGTACCTGTGCATGTGGACAATGCAGCAAAAAACCCCTGCAAGTGGGGGCCAGCTCCACCATCTACTCACAGCTTTCTTCTTAACTGAAACTGTAGGCATTCGAGCAACCTAAAAGAGACTAAAGTCAAGCTCCTTATTTTAGATGGTCCTAAAATTAGAGACCAGATTTGGAAATGTTTGGCATGGTAAATGATTGTACAGGTATGAGAAACCAGGCAGACACTATATATACATATAGATATATGTATATCGATCTTTTGCAGCTGTGCTGCTCCCAAGTGTTTGATAAATCGTGCTGTGAGAGGTCATTTGAGTTAAAGGAGATCTTCAACTTTTTTCTCCTCACAAACTTAGAGGATTCATTTTATTTGCCGCTGAATGTTTCTGTTAAATATTGAGTGGAAAATACAGTGTTCTTTGACTAGAAAATATGAGTTTGAGATACAAAACATATGTACTTACATCTGTTAATACAGCACCAGAGACCTACATCACATTACTTACGTAATTTAGATTTGAAAAACCAACGAGTTCTGGTAAGTGAGGTTATGATAACTGAGAAAAGTCTACAAGATACCTATCTGCCTGTGTACAAATCATCATTGCTGGGTGACAGCATCCCCGCAGGAAGGAAATTTGCTTTTAAATGCCTTGTGGCATCATTTTCCACCACTACTGTTCTGTAAGGAGTTCAGATCCAACCACACATCCATTTAGGGCATTATTTGCACGCGTGCAGCTGCTTCCCACATACATTATGGTAATAGCCACGTGATAAATTGCAGAGCTACATGAATAAATTACATTCACTATGAACCTTTGACTGCACCACTTGCTCTCTGCCCACTAATCCATCTCTGCTGACATGGCTTTGACACTCTAAACCTCCAAGCAGTTTCAAGCAGCCACTGTTTAGAAACAAATAAGAGCCATGTGCCCCACATAATATCATCTTTTCTTTTTTCTTAATCTTGAAATATATTTTCTCAATCTTGAAATATATTTTCTCCCTCTGAATAGTAATAGCTGTGATTTAGCCCTCAGTGATGTTTACTAAACTCATCATGTAATATGAAAAGTTGTTATTTTAATGAAAAAAAACCTAGCAAAACTTGTTTCTTCCTTTTAGTGCAGATAAACATTGCAGCAGTTCCTCTCTTAAGTAATTCCTCAGGTTTCTGAAGGCCTTTGTTATCAGTCCATTCTCTAGTTAGAATAATGATTTTAAACATAAAAGAACCAACCAAACAAAAGACATTTTGATTAAGTATTAAAAATGGTGCCAGAACTCCTCCTGAAAACATTTGACCTCGCAAGGTCATCAATGCTGGGATGTAGGATGAAAGTTTGCTTGGGAATGACCTGAGGTTACAGCTGTAGTTCCCTTGCAGCTTAAGTCTGTGAGATGCATAAGATGCACAACAATCCTCAGAGGAAAAGTAGAGAAAGAGAAACAACTGGGGGAGAGGGAGAGAGAGCATGCACAATGAGGGTGTGTATCTAGTGATGCAAGTTTAGAGTGACTGACTCCTACATCGTAAACCCTTGCATTTGTTTCCAGTATAGCTGTATATTGTACATACACACTATATTTAGATACACACTGGTAATGGCTTGGCTTGAAACATTAGGAAAATGACAGAAATATTTGATATTCCCAAGGTACTGTCCATGGCCACAGCAGAGCACTCTCATCCCTAAAAATGCTTCACGCCTATCTGTACTATAGCTCCACGTAGGAATTGGACATTTCCTTCAAAATGAGCTTTTACATATGCCTTTGGCATTTTCGAGGAGATCTTTTATTTTTGTGTTCATTTTTAGTTTTAGAAAATGAGTTAAGAAGATAGCACTGACATACTTGGAGAAGGTGGGCAGTGGAAAAAAGAGTGCTTTCATGTTAGGCATGTTCTTGTGCTAAAAAATCCCAAATTTGAAGTGACAGAGATGCATAGGTTTCTTTTCAGCATGGTGAAGTGCCAAACTGACTTACACAAATGCTTGGTTTTGTGAGTACTGAATGTTTGCCTGCTAAACCTGTACCATTGTTTTGTTATTGAAATCAGGTTAACACTGCCTTGGAGAAGGTCAGGGTCTTTTCTGATAATTCTAACAATAAGCAAGGCTACCAAACAGCCAAGTCTGCTTCTGCAGGATGAGAAGGAGGTTGAAGCAGCCTTCTGTTTTATTTCCATATCAGTTCTAGGATCAGACTTAGTAACTTTCTGTTCAACACAGACTATATGGACTCAGGTACTAGCTGTTGAGTCTCTGTCAGCTTTCGGTGTAGTATAGATTATATTCTTGAAACAAACCAGACTGAGAGGTTCATCCAAGTCCTGCTGGGAGATTATGGTAGAACCCAAGGCAGTCTGTGAGAGGGAGATGATAATAATCTGCAATAACACACAATGCAGTCATGTGTTGCAATGTGCACAAGCATACGATACAGAGGAGATGGGCAGGTAAATTTGCCTCCTGCTTCTTTCAGCATATTCCCCATGGAGTTAGATGATCCTCCTAGTCCATTATGAATTTTTACTTAATGAGCATGTTGAGTTTACGGACTGAATAACAGGGTTTTCGTACGCAGAGTTGTTGCAAAATTCACCACTCCTAGTTGGCATCTAAACCCAGCACATGGTAGCTCACCACTTGCAGGCACCTTTGGGTTGTCCCTCCAGAAAAGCATTTGTAGGTATTATGGGGAACACGCAGCAGGAAAACTACCCCACAGTTACTTTTACGCATCTATTCTGAGAATAACATTAAAGTCTCTGGTGACATTCAGTACTGACAGCTCTTGAGATTATTCTGAAACCTCAAGCCTCTGGAGTCCTATGATTATGTGAGATTCTCAGCTTTCATTTAAAACATCATCTTTATTTGCTTAGTCCTTCTGGTTGCAGGGAAAAGTTTGGAAATGAAACCAAGAAGCTCAAAAAGCAGAAGCCAAATAAATAGCCCTCCAAATTATTATTTGTTTAAAATCTCATCATATTTAAAGTCACTCAGGATTTTTACGGCTTGGAAAGGATTTTACTCAAGAGAAGAGAAGCATGAAAGAAACTTATAAACAAATAAGTGGTACACTGCTAAGAGCAGTGAACAGTATATAGACATGGAGTTACATGTGTCTGTAAGGAGGATGTGACAGCATCCTACCACAGTAAGTAGTACTTGTCCTGCCAGGATAACCAGCTCCCTGTGGAAAGGTCACCTCTGGCTTCCCTGTACGTTTCAAAGCAATTTTTAGTTGTTTGGAGGGAGGCACAAATGCTGGCAGAAGGTGCATGTCTGCTTTCTGTGGTATTCTTTGAAGGAAATTTGGCCATCTTTTGTCAGTCACAGAGTTGGACTGAACAGCCCCAGTGTTTGAGCCAGTGTGACCGTTCCTGCAGGTCTGTAATTTATGAACTTTGAGCACTTGGCATTGCTAAGAGTGTGTCTGGCACCATACGCTTATGCTTAGTTGGCCTGGGAGGAGAGGGAAGGAAGAGGAGGGAGAAGAGAGAAGAGAAAGAAGCTATTTATGTTTTCAGAACTGCGGGATTCACTTTGCAGAGATGCTGTAAGCAAATTTTGAAGTACTTGGTGGTGCTAGTTCTTGTGGCTTGCAGCATTTCCATTTACAAAACAAATCTGCTTTAAATCCCTGGGAGTAACTAGCAGTTGGTGAAATCTACTTTCCTCTTTGTAAGCACTTGTTACAATTCCACAATACTCTGTCCAGTCATAAAAATAAACAAATCTGACTTCTTCTGACTGTCACCATCTTTGGCCCTACAAGAACAGCACGTGAGTGGCTTCTGGTTTCTTTATTTCTAAGGCATTTGCTGTCTATACAACTGGTACAAGCATCAGGAACCCCATGATGCTACTCATGGCTCAGGGGTCCCATCACCCCAGTCACACCTGCCTTGCACATGGACTAGCCCCCTTTCCTGAAATCCAGCCTTTAGCATGAAGTTTGCATTGAAACCTTAGCCAGCATTAGTGTGCAATTTCATCATGAATTTAACCAGGAGACTCCTAGTGGCTATTGCTGTAATTTGCAAACTAGAGATGAGTTTATGTTGCCGACCTGTGTTTGCAGTTCAAATGGCAGCATAAAAATACAATAGCTAGGTCTAAACCCAAACAGAAAATTGTAACACCATCAAACATCCCAAGGGCTAAAAAATGATGAAATTATCATCAGTTATAGTTGCCTGTAGCTAATTTCCTTCATAGGTTAAACAGAAGCTTGAAAAGAAGCCTGCAGATGGGAGTCCTGAGCATTTGTACAATTTATAGAGCAGAAATGCTGATGACAGTAGAAATTTGAGCCATTGAGTGCTCCTCTGTATTTCATAGCCAATCAAAACTAAATTAAGAAACAAAGATTATTAAAAAGTCTTCTGCGCTTGTAATTCTGGCATAATATTATGAGGTGGACATTAAATTTTTCCCTCTGAGACTTTCAGCATCATTAATAT